GTAGCCAAGGAAAACTAGAAATGTGAGGATAGCCTCTAATATAAGAACAAAACAAAGAACCTATTTTTAATAGCTCCAAAAAGCTAGAAGATGGTGTACCCATTAAATAAAAACAGGAGTCCATAAAAAGTAACACAGAATTAAAAAAAAAATCTCTTAGTGCCTAAACCGGTTTGGGTCCCAGGTTGGATTCTGGTCAGGGGCATGTACATTAGTTGTGGGCACATCCCCGGTAGGGGACATACAGGAGGCAGCTGGTTGAAGTTTCTCTCTCAGATGTTTCTAGCTCTCTATCCCTCTCCCTTCCTCTCTGTAAAAAAATCAATAAAATATATTTTTAAAAAACCTCTTAGAAATTAAAAATATGAAAAAAATCATTGTTAAATTGAAAAAAACCCACAAAAACCCCACCACTTCCCAGAAAGTTAAGAGAGAAAGAGAGAGAAGTTACTAAAGAAATTTCCTTAGAGTTTAGGACATGAATGAGATTGCAAATGTTCTGTCAGAACAATAAATAAAAAATAGTCTACACCAAGGCACCTCATCATGGTATTTTAGAACACCAGTGAGAAGATTCTGAAAGAGAAGGAGGGAGAGAAATAGAAAAACAGACAGAGATCCTATGCCAGGTAAACAACAAAGGGAAATTGATTTTTTACAGTCACACTTGATATAGAATACTTTTAAAATTTGGAGTGAAAATGATGTTCAACCATGAATTTAATTTCCAGAAATCTATCTGTCATGGAATGGTGAATGTACTCCACTGAAGTGAGAGAGTAAAGCAAGAATGAGGAACAAATAAAATCTAGGAAAAGGAATAAACAAACCACTGATAGGCAGAAAGAAAATGAAGCAAATGAAAAGGGAAGGAATTACTAACACAAGATAAAACAAAATGTACAAGAAAATGTAATCAAAATATACTTTATGGCTCAACTGGGGATATTATTTATATGATCTTAATAATGTAAACCCTGAACAAATGAAACTACATCAAACTAAAAGGGTTTTGCACAGCAAAGGAAATCATCAACAAATGAAGAGACTATCTAGTGAATGGGAGAACATTGGCTGATACATCTCATAAGGGGTTAATATCCAAAATTTATAAAGAACTTATAAAACAACACCCTAAACAATCCAATTTAAAATGGGCAAAGGACCTTAATAGACATATGAAAAGAGATTCAATGTCACTAATCATCAGAGAAATGCAAATTAAAACCACAATGAAATTATCGCCTGACACCCTGGAATGGTTATCATCAATAAATCAACAAACAACAGTGCTGGTGAGGATGTGGGGATGTGGGGACGTGGAGAAAGGGGAACCCTCCTGCACTGTTGGTGGGAATGCAGATTGGTGCAGTCACTGTGGAAAGCATAATGGAGATATCTCAAAAAACTAAAAATGAAGCTGCCTTATGTTCCAGTAATTCTACTTCTGGGAATTTATCTGAAGAAATCCAAAACATTAATTCAAAAGACTATATGCATTCCTATGTTCATTGCAGCATTATTTACAATAGCCCAGATTTGGAAGCAGCCCAAGTGTCCATCAGTAGATGAATGGACAAAATAGCTATGGTACATTTTACACAATGGAATACAACTCAGCTGTAATAAAGAAGAAAAATTTACATTTTCCCCCCTCCTTAAACAAAAACATATTTTTGCTGTGTTTTATTTACCATATAAATTATATTTAAAAATATACTAAGTGAAATAAGCTAAGTCAGAGAAAGACAAATACCATATGATTTCACTCATGTGTGGAATCTAAAGGACAACCTGAACAAGCCAAATAGAGACAGTCTCATAGAGAGCAGACTGACTGCTCTGAGGGGTGGAGGGATTGATCAAAAAAGAAATAAAAGAGAGAAAGAACTCATAGACACTCATAACATTGTAGTATTTGAGGGTGAGTTAGAGGAGATAGAGGTGGAGAAGGGTATGGGGAGGATAAAGGTGGTGGCAAAAATAATAATATAAACTCTTAATATCTATTTGACAAACAAATAGATGATGTGACTATATTGAGATTATTCAAAAGAGAAAAATATTCCTGGGAAACTATTCTCCTTAAATTCTTATGCTATTTTGATTGGGGATGCCTTGTAGCTTCTGAACAGTTCCAGGGAAATCAAAATGTAATTTACTCTTTTAGAAAGTAAATTATTTTATTGACTTTTTCTTCTATCAGTCATTAATATCATACAAAGATGGGTTGAGGAAAACTCCCCCTTGTTTTGCTTTTCAAGTTGCTAGAGAAAAGAAAAGAATCTCTGGGTACACTTCCTCTCATATTAAATTCCAGAAAGTTTTCACCAGGACATAAATTCCTTTTATTAAATAGATTAAAAAAAATCTTTGGATCAATTATTTGCCCTTCCATCTAATGAATCTAAATTGAGTCTGCAGCCCAAATCAACTTGGCTGCAAATTTACTGCTGACTCTTACTGTAATGAACTCATGGAACCGTTCATTCATTCATCCCCTTTTCCTGCACATTTGCTGTGCATCTATTATGCATGTTAGTAGGTAGAAGATTAGGTCAAATAATTCTGGGTGCATCTGCACCCAAGAAGATATTCAAAGCCTAGAACCAGATATATTTGTGTTCAGATGGGTGTCTGGGTTGGAGTGCACTCTTACTTATCAAAGGGCAGGGTTCCTCCTCTCTGTGGCCTTTATAGAAATCTCAGCCTACTTCTCCCCAAACAGGATTTCTTCTGGATTTGTGGGCCACCCAGCACTCCTCTTTGGAGAGCAAGGCACAACCAGGGATTGTGCCCCCAGGGCTGTCAGTCCAAACATATTAAAAAGGTCCTAGTGACATGGAGTCTCTGGAAAGGATGCCACCTTTCCAGCGCTCAGCCCCAAGGGTTCAGAGTTCCTCCCAAACTCACATTTTTGGGGCCTCTGGGGAGGCCAAACCCCAACTCTACTCCTCCTGCACTCCCGGCCAGCTGCTCCTGAACTCAGCGTCCCTGATAACTTCTTGGAGGTGAGGAAGCTTGGGGCTCCAGGGTCTAGAGGGCCTTCCAGACCTTGCCCCCCACTTTCCCTTTCCCTGACCCTCCAGGCTGCTCAGCTATTTCTCAACGCCCCCAGAGCTCTGTGGGGTGGGGTGCATGCTCTGCCAGATGCAGAGCTGAGGGGGGGGGGGGGGGGGGTCCTGGAAGAGGGGTGTAGAGGGCAGAGGCTTTTAGACAGACAAGGCCTCCCAGCTGTGCCTGGTCCTTCACAGCCCCTTTCCCGGGTTGGAAATGGGTAAAGGGGCACAGGAATCTCCCCTTATATTCGCAGGAGTTGTGAGGAAGGACCTCCTGGTAAAAGCCGCTTCGAGGTCCCTGATTACATCCCAAAGCAAGTTCAGTACTTTGGGCGCAGAGAGAACTCCCCACTGTGCAAAGGAAGCCCTTGGGCAGTAGTGCTTTCTGGAGTGGTTCCCGAGGTCCTGGGAGTGACCCGCCCCGGCGCGCTGTGTCAGCCACAGCCCCAGGCGCGTTCTAGGCATCCCGTGTTCCTGGAGGCTGGAGCGACTCTGGCCTGTGCAGCCTCTGAGCCTCTGACCTGTGCAGCCTCTGAGCACTCCGCCTGCCACAGACATCGGGAAGCGGGGGCCCAGACTGACATCTCCTGAACTCTCTGCTGACCCGCCCAAACCAGAAGGTCCCAGGAGCTTCTGGCCACTCCCTCCCTGTTCCGCGCCTTCAGCCAAGGCCTCCCGAGCTCAGGAGGGATCGGTGGGGCGCATTGGGGTGCAGCTACTACGAAGGGGCAGCCTAAGGCCCCGAGGGTAGGTGGCGCTCCCCCATTTACTCCGCATGGCTTTTACCTCTAGCCTAATCCATGGCCAGAGCTGGAGTCTTCGCCCCCCGCCCCGGAGAACCAGGCTTTCCTTAGGGAAAAGGGAGAGGCCCAGGCCCTGCGCGTGGATGTGAATGGGTGTGTGTGTCTGTGTGCGAGCTTGGGGGACACTGGGCACCGCTGTGCACATGAAAGAGCCCGTTTCCCCGAGCAGAGATGGAGGGGATGCCTTCGGGGTTCCTGCGAAATTGGTCTGATGGGTGGGCGCGAGCGTTCATTTGCAAACAGCTCACGAGGGCGCTGGCTTATCTGGGAGGCGCTGTGTGTGTGTGTGTGTGTGTGTGTGTGTGTGTGTGTGTGTGTCCGTCCGTGTGTGAATGCGACTGCGACAGGCAGAGCGTTTGGCTGGCGTCCAGGGACGTGAGTGCGGTCCACGAGCCGGGCAGAGAAGCGCGAGTGCGCGCGCCCGCCCGCCTGCAGCCCAGTCTGAACGTCCGAAGGGCACCTTTGGGCTTACCCTCTCCTTGGGGCCCCCTTAGCAACCCAGCGCTTCAGGGAGCGAGTGTATGGGGTGGGACAGGTAGTTTGCCCAGCAGTTGGGCAAACAAATAGAGGGGCGGGGCGGTTGTGAAAACCAACAGCTGCGCTGCAGTGGAGAGTCCCGGGTTAGGGGGATGCTAAGCTCCCTCTCTGAGGATTAGGGGCTAGACACTGAGCAGGCTGCGCCAGTTTAGCCCCTTCCTCAGTCCCCTCCTCTTCCCCACTTCTACCCATTCTCAGAGGAGTGAGGTGAAGGAGGCTTGGCTGCCAGACTGGAAATAGAACTTCTTTGTGGAGACAAGGGCGAGCGGGGTTGGGGTGGGGTACCCTAGTGTGTTGGGGGAGGGAAGGAAGGAAACTGGATGGCACAGGAGCACTCCAGGTGGCCCAAAGAGATCACTCTTTCAAGGCCCCTCTACTCCAGGACCCCCTCCCTCCTTCGCCTAGGGCTGTTTCAGCTGAGCTCCATTTAGAACCCAGGACCGCTGCTCAGTCCCAGGGAGTTCAGGTGGAGGGCTGGGGGCCGGACTGGAGCGGCAGGAGACAGGTGCAAGGCTAGAGTTCAGAGAGTGAGAAAAGCTCCGGCTTCTTACTTTTGGTGACGCCACACTCCCCGATTTGTCTCCACTTTCTGGACGTCGAAGGCTCTCCAACCTCTCCCAGCCCTCCAGCTCTCCAAGCAATGACCTCATTGCAAGACAGTCTGAGCTGGTGGCTCCCTCCCTAGTGGACCGGTGCGGGGAGCGGGAGCAATGACGCAATCGGAGCTGGGTCGGTCCTGGCCACTTTGGATTGGCCACGCAGGCTCGTGGGGAACCCCTCCCACTATCCCTGGAATAAGAGCCAAGAGCTCCGCTGGGAAGACACCCACAGCAGGCGTTGTGTCCATCCAGGGGGACCGGCTGCTGGCACTCTCCTGCAACTCTATTCGCCAGGTGAGGAACTTCCCACTCCACCCTAATCCCCTGCTTCTGGCTGAGTTCGTCCAGTTTGCTGGACCTGCCTGCCTGCCTTTCCTTTGCCTCTCACCACCATCTCGTCCCATCTACAGCAAGGTGCTCCTAGCTCTCTGTCCTCCTCGGGAGAGGGCGGGCGGTTGGGATGGGCAGTGCATTCTCCTCTAATAACCACCAGTGGAATCCCCAGCATCCTCAGGGCTTCCCCTGGGCGCTGGGAGCCCCACAAGCCCAGATGGGTGGGTCTGCCAGCCAGCCCTGCAGTGGTGCATGCAGGATCCTGCAGGAGTTGGGTCTGGGAGTCCCCTTCCGGGACTGTGTCCTCAGGGACCACATTTGGCTCCCAGGACGGGGAGCCCTGAGCCTTCCTCTGAGGCGCCTCCAGCCTGCCAGTGTTCCTAGGGCGTTGGCAGGGACCCGAGGCAGTGCAATTGGTGAGCCAGAACATTGGGCTCAACTCGGGGTGCTGGCACCCAGGATCTACTGCCAAACTGCCCTCCAGCACACCCCTGAGACACCAGTAACTGGCATGTTAAAATTTTCCCCCAAACCCAAACCCTCAGCACTCTCTTCCAACTGACCCTTCCCATTTTCCTCTCCCCGAATTAGTGGGAAGTTCAGTGGAGAGGAAGGGGCTCCTGGATTTCTCAGCCCTGAGAGGATAGGAGATGCAGTCTGCAGCAGGGTGGGTCCACACCTAGTTCCTGCCTCGGGCAGAAGGTGTGGGTTCCTGTGCATGGCCACCTTTGTGGCTTCTCTCTGGCTTCCCTCAGGACAGAGCCAGAATGCTCCCCGTCCTCACCCAGGACACTTGTTTCTGCTCTTCCAAGTACATGCACAGGAGTCCATCCAACAAACGAACACAACCAAGGCATGAGGTCACAAGGCAGTTGTGGCGGAGGCAGGACTGGAACCCAGGTCTGCAGGCTCTAGGCCAGGCTTGGTCTTGGTGCAGCCGTAATGTTCTTCTCCTTTTGCAGAGAGGCATCATGGGCTTCGGGAAGTCCTCCCCCTTCTTGGCTCTCAGCATCTTGGTCCTGTGCCAGGCTGGCGGCCTCCAGGCAACACCGCTCAGGTGAGAGGGCCTGAAGCTACTAGCCTCTGCCCCTGGATCAGGCAGTTCTGTGCCTCTGAAGTCGCAACAGTGAGGCTCCCAGTGAATCAGCACCCTCAGGTGGACACTGGCCTCAAGCCTTGTGGGCTAGGCGTGGGGAGAGAAGGTCACGTTTTCAGGGCATGCCCCATGAGCAGGAAGCCTGGCTGCTTATCCTGGAGAGAGGCCAGACAGGGACTCAGAGCCTGTACTGGGTTTGCTTCCCCTCCCCAGGTGGGCCTTGGAGAGCCTCCCAGACCCAGAACTTGCTGCTCTCAATGAGAAGGATGGGCGCCTCCTACTGGCTTCACTGGTGAAGGCCTATGCACAGAGGAACACCAATGAGCTGGACCAGCCTGAGGAGCAGGGCCTGGAGGGAGAGGACTCCAGGTAAGGCACCCTACTCACCTTGGCATATCCAGGAAAACAAAACAAAACAAAAAAAAATCTGACCAGAAGTCCAGCAGGATGGCTTTGTTTGCCAGGCTCTGGAGCCCGGCCATTCTCATGCTCCACGGAAGACAAAGGTTCAGGGCAGCTGGAGCGATTGTGGTTAGATACATTGAAAAGATCCATTCCTGAAAGCTGTTAGGGAAGGAAACGAGGTGGCGTGGAATCACTTCCTCTGGGAATTGGTCTTGCTTTACTGAGAAGACTTCCCAGCATTGGGTGAAGTAAGACTGATCAGTTCGAAGCCAGCAGATCTCAGGATGTTTTAGAAATGAAACCAGTGTGTTGTCACCTCACACCTGCAAGGAGCCTTTACTGCACATTTGCAAGGTGAAGCCAAGAGCCTTGCAGAGGGTGGGGTCAACTAGAGCAGTGTCTGAGTTAGGTCTGGGCCTTTACATGTATAGGATCTGTGAAGATGTATATGTTTGTCATGAGGCTGGGGATAACAGCCCCACCTCTCTGTTGCACCCTGAGCTTGGAGCACTGCTGAGGCAGAGGCATGGGTTGCACTTGCACTTGCTCTGAGAACCTCTCTGCAGAGCATGAAGGCCTGAGCAGGAAACAGGACCCCTTCCCCACTTCAGCCCTTCCCCACACTGCGCTGACTCAGCAAATGCTTGATTTCTCTTAATGGGAGATGTGTGAGCTGCCCTTTTGCCTGGTCCTCCTGCTCCTGCTCAAAGTACCCCCTCCCTGCATGACTGCCCCTCACTGAAGGCCAACCTGGTGCATGGTATTGTCTGGCTTGTCTTCCTTACAGTCTGGACAGCTCCATCACTAAGCTGTGCCGCATTCTGAGTATTTGTGTTCTGGGCACATACTTGAAGTGTCTGAACAATTTTCATGTGTTCTCCGGCATTGGCTTTGGGGCTGAAACACTTGGCAAGAAAAGGGATATAGCCAGTGGTTTGGAGAAGAACTGCTATCCCAGTTTTGGGGTGCCCAAGGATTCCAAGTGAAATGGAATTTCTTCTGATTTTCTTTCTTGCTCTCATTGATGAACGTAGTGCATGCAGATTTCACTCTGATTGCTTTTCAAGCTGGTATTGGTAGCTTTGCTCATGACAGAAAATGTTGGGGACCTCAGGATGGAATAAAAGAGAGTGGGACTCAGACCAGGTGAGAGATAAGAGAGACTGAGGGAAGCTTCTTGAGATCCTAGAGGATATCACCGCAGAGTCCTCTAGTTTCTGTTTTATCCCTCAGCATAAAATTTGATGAATAATCCCATTTTCTAAAAGAATGTACACTGTGATGGTCATTACTCTAGTCTAGGGGTGTCGAACTCAATCAGAGAAGGGGCCAAAATCTAAAATCCAGCCTAAATCGCGGGCCGAATGGTTTACTGAACAGTCATAAACTGTCATTGTGATGGAAACGCAGCGGAGTGCAGTGATGACAGTGCGGTGCGGGCCACATTGCAAGGCCTGGCGGGACGGATTTGGCTCGCGGGCCTTGTGTTTGACACATGTGCTCTAGTCCATATTTAAGACTTGAAGGTGCCCAGAGCCTATGGTTAAAAATAACTTTAGTCTGAGGATAGCTGGGTATAGGGCTTGGTGAGGGGTCACTGGGAACCAACTCAGCATCAAGAAGAGATGTGCTGCCCTAGCTGATTTGGCTCAGTGGTTATAATGTCTGCCTGCAGACTAAAGGGTCCTGGGTTCAATTCTAGTTAAGGGCACATATTTTGGTAGCAGGCTGGATCCTAGACCCCTCAGGGCTCATGTTGGAGGCAACCAATTGATGTCTCTCTTCACATTAATGTTTCTCTCTTTCTGTCTTCCTCCCTTCCACTCTCTCTCTCTCTCTCTCTCTCTCTCTCTCTCTCTCTCTCTCTCTCTCTCTCAAAAAAAAAAAAAATCAATGGGTGAGGATTAACAAAACAACAACAAAAATATTAGTTGCAGTGTGGGATCTAAAAAAAAAAAAAAAAAGAAGAAGAAGAAGAGGTGTGCTGAAGAGCAGGTAAGCACTTTTTGTAAGGCCTGTTCTCTGAGCTTCTTCCAGGTAAAACTTAAGGGAATTTTTATTTTCCCATGGAAAGTGGTTTCATTGGTGCTCATGGCTGAGGTATGCTTTTTGTATGTCCTGAGGTGGGCTTAAGTCTTTGTCAAAAACTTCTTTTCGTGCCCAAAGAGATTATATGTAAGGCTCAATAAGTGGAGGGTTTCAGTATGTGTCTCAGGTTAGGAACTGGGTTTTATCATGAAGGGCTCCTAGAAAAGGCTGCCAGGCCATTTCCTCTAGCAAATTTAGTAATTGCATATAGAAGAAACCCTTATTCTCCGCCCTCCTCCCCCCTCCCGCCCACACACTTTTTATTTTATTTTTGTAAGATATACATAAAAATTTTGCCATTTTAGTTTTGTTGTTGTTGCCTTTTTTTTTTTTTAAATCTTTATTATTGTGAGTATTACAGATGCCCTACCTCACGAGGTTTCTGTCCTGCCCCAAGCCTTCACCACCCTATTGTCTGAGTCCATAGTTAATGTATATCTTTGGTTAATCTCTTCCCAGCTCCTCTCCCACTTCCCTCTGATATTTGCTACGTTTCCATGCTTCTTTATTTATCAGTGTAATTTGTTCATTAGATTTCTTGTTCATTTACTTTGATTTTTAGATTCAATTGTTGATAGATATGTACTTATTGACATTTTATTGTTCATATTTTTATTTCTACTTTTCCTCTTCCACCCCTCCCCCATCCTCCTCCTCCTTTTCTTCATTCTCCTTCTTTTCATTTTCAGCCTCATTCTTATTTCTCTTCTTAAAGAATATCCTCCCACTATTGGTTTGGTATGCTCCTTTAGCTTTTTCTTGTCTGTGAAGCTCTTCATCTGAACTTCAATTCTAAATGATAGCTTTGCTGGCTAGAGTAACCTTGTTTATAGGTTCTTGCTATTCATCACTTTGAATATTTCTTGCCACTCCCTTCTGGTTTACAAAGTTTCTGTTGAGAAATCAGTTCACAGTTATATGGGTGTTCCCTTGTAGGTAATTAACTGCTTTTCTCTTGCTGATTTTAAGATTCTCTCTTTATCTTTAATCTTTGGTATTTTAATTATGATGTGTCTTGGTGTGGGCCTCTTTGGGTTCCTCTTGTTTGGGGCTCTCTGTGCTTAAAGGGGAAGTTTTCTGTCATATTTCTTCAAATAGGTTTTCAATATCTTGCTCTCTTCCTTCTCTTTCCGGTACTACCATAATGCAAATGTTAGTATGTTTGAATTTGTCAAAGAGGCTCCTTACACTATCTTTATATTTTTGGATTATTTTTCTTTTTGCTTTTCTCACTGGGTGTTTTTTGCTTCCTCATATCCCAAATCATTGATTTGATTCTTGGGATCCTCTACTGTTGAATCCCTATATATTACTCTTTATTTCAGTCAGTGTATACTTAATTTCTGACTGATCCTTTTCCTGTATTTGAAATTACTACTAAGATCATTGAAAGTCTCATTAAGTCCCTTGAAGTAGCTCTCTTTAAGATCTGTGAGTAACCTTATAACTATTGTTTTGAACTCTGTATCCAGTAGTTTGCTTGCTTCTATTTCTTTCATTTGTGATATGTTTCTTTGTCTCAAAATTTTGGCTGCTTCCCTGTGTTTGTTTCTATGTGTAAGGTAGAGCTGATTTGTCTCCTGGAATTGGTAGAGTTGCCTCATATAGTAGGTGTCCTTTAGGGCCCAGTGGCTCAGCCTCCCCAGACACCTGAGCTGGACCTTCTAGATACGCCTCTGTGTGGGCTGTGTGCACAGTCTTGTTGAGCCTTGATTGCTATTGGCATTACTGGCAGTACCTTCAGGCCAATTGGTTGTGAGGACCAGCTGCTGTGCAGGACACACTCCTATGGAGCAGGACTTGCTTCAGTGGGGCTTTGGTGCTCACTGAGTCTGCCCCTTGAGTGTGTCCCCTATGGATATGTAGAGTTGTAATCTAGTATGGTCTGAAGTTGTCCACTGGGTGCACTGGCTGTAGGGCCTCCAGAGAGGTGCAAAGTCAGCCGCTGGCTGGGGCCACCTGGCAGGAACTACAGAGAAATCTGCAGGTGGTTGCTATTTGTATTTGGCTTGGAACTGCCTAGGCAAGGACCTGCTGTGAAGCAAGGCAGGCTGATGCTAGTGCTGGGTCTTAGGCCTTTTATTGATACATTTGGGGCATGCTGATGCTAGCTGCTGCTAGTTTGAGAGATTTTAGGAAGGTCTAAAGCCTGAGCTAGGAGAGGCAATTTGTATGGAAAAATAGGTGCAAAAGCTTGGGTGGGGCTGCAAATTGGATGGAACAGAGTCTTAGGGAATCACCAGGACAGAGTAAACAGTGTGAGCTATGGTCATATAAATTAAGTTATGGCTATCAGTCAGCCCTGCAACATGGGAGGTCTTAGCATAGGAACAATGATCTCTGCAAGCACCCCTTCTGGGAAAAAAACCACCCCTGAGTCCTTGCTCCAATGCCAGACAATCAAGTTCTTTCCTGTATGTTCCTGGATCCTCCAAAACTGCCACACAGTATTGGAGCCCAGAGGGAGTATGGACAAGTAATGTGTCAGACCTTTAAGAGGAACTGCCTGTGTCTCTAGTAGCCTCCATGTCACTAGCTACAATCCCTGCTTGTTTTTACAGCCCCAAATTATGGGGACTTCTCTTCCTTGCTCTGGAAACCTTGGCTGGGGTTCTGGTGTGGGGCTGGAACTCCTCGCTTTTCATGAAGGCCTCCACAGTGGAGATATCCCTCCTGATTAAAAAACCCACACACACCACATGTGGATGTTGGGCCAATCCATTCCACACTTCCGCTCCTCCTATCAGTCTTAATGTACTTTATTCTTTACTTCTATTGTTGTAGGACTTCCATTCAGCCAGATTGCAGGGAGTTCTGAATGATGGTTCTTTATTTTAGCTATAATTTTGTTGTGGTTATGGGAGGTGGCAAGTACCAGAGTTTACCTATGCTGCCATCTTGGTTCTTCCAAAAACATTTATTATTTTTTTAAACATATATTTTATTGATTACAGAGAGGAAGGGAGAGATAGAGAGAGAGATAGAAACATCAATGATGAGAGAGTTGACTCCTGGATGCCCCCTACTGGGAATCAAGCTGCAACCCCAGGCACATGCCCTTGACCAGAACCAAACCTAGGATCCTTCAGTATGTAGGCTGATGCTTTATCCACTGTGCCAAACCAGCTAGGCCAGAAACATTCATTCTTAAGTGGTATGTTGAAGGGCTACAATTCTCTTTGAAAAGGTTCCATTGGGTAGGCTCCAGACTCAACTCTCACTAGCAGGCTGTCTCTTCTTTCTCCATCTTGCAAATCAGTGTCACTCCCAAGAAGAGAAGCTGCAACACTTCCACTTGTGTGATCCATCGGCTGGAAGACATTCTGAGCAAACATGGGGGGATGCTTAAGGAAGACTTTGTGCCCACTAATGTGGGCCCTGATTCCTATGGCCGTCGCCGTAGGGGACTTCAGGCCTGAGCTGCTAAAGGACTCCAGGAAGAAGGTAACTGCTTTTGTTCTGTTGGATGATAGGGGAAGGTAACTGGAATTTTTAACATTCACATTTTGAAACCCACTGGACCTGGTTCCTCAGATCCTTCTCTCCTGAGGTAGTGGATTCCTTTTACAACTCAGCTTGAAGTCAGAGCACTAGGGCAGGCGCTACAGAGATGCAATTTGGTCTTTCTGAGAAGAGAAATGAATAAAAAAATGCTTGCTGAATTCATAAAGGGAGAGCCCTGCAAATCTTAGCCAGGCTGCTCCTCATTAACGAACATAGGTTCAGAAAGCCTTCAACTCTTCAATGTTCACAGGTTTAGTCCAGAGGGCTATCATCTTAACACTACTGCTAATGTTCATAGTGATGGTTGAGGTGTGTTTTTTTTTCTCTATCATTTACTTTAAAAGCCTGCTTATATCTCATATCTATAATTTATAAATGCTGTTTAGTTAAAGAAGCACTTCTATAAATTAATGTTCTTTTCAGTAATAATTGTGTTTATTTCCTTCTTGTTCTTCTTCCTCTTCTTTTAACTTTTTTTTTTTTTTTTTAAATCTCAGGTTACAATGAATCTGAACTCACCACTTCTATTAATTTCTGTTGACAACAACTTGGTGAGAAGACCCCAGGGATAATATACATGTTTGCATCCAAATAGATTTAAAAAAAAGCACCTTTGCACTAAAAATAATAAAAAATAAAAAAAAATAAATTAAATGAAAAATATACTACAAATTCCATATTTGTTGTGCATCATTTTTATATTTGATTCTATGTGCAATAAACGTGATGACGTCTCTCATCAGCTTACCTGGTAGCAAACTGGTTCTTTGAGAGCTATCCTGTTGTTCATGGCGGCTTTGCCAAACCAAAGGAGACATGAAATCACTGCCTTTTGTGATCTCTGGGGTGATGCTATGCTTTGTTTTAATGGTGATGCTATGCTTTGTTGTCTAAGAGCTTGATTGTATAATTTATTTAAGAAAATGTCAATATTGTGTCATTTGTGAACTTCATCAAGATTAAAAGCATATTTTGGATACATGTGTTTCAAAACCCTGGTTGTTTATTTCAACTTGTTTTTTAATGTAATAATAATGATAGTTAACATTTTTTGAATGCTTACTCTAGACCAGTAGTCAGCAAATCATGGCTTGCGAGCCACATGCAGCTCTTTGGCCACTTGAGTTTTTAGCAAAGACCAGTTTAGGAGTACCCTAATTAAGTTAATAACAATGTACTTACCTATATAGTTTAAGTTTAAAAAATTTGGCTCTCAAAAGAAATTTCAATTGTTGTACTGTTGATATTTGGCTCTGTTGACTAGTGAGTTTGCCGACCACTGCTCTACACCATACAATGTTCTGAGATAGTGAATTCATTTAATCTTCGTGATAACTAATATGGGGTAGATACCATTTATATTTCCACTTCTCATCTGAGGAAACAGGCACTGAGAAGTGAAGTTCAAGGTCACACAGACTCAGGTGTTAGTTTTCAGAGCTTGCCATAGAAACCACTGTGCTGTATGCTTCCTAACAAAGGCTTCTTATGTTTTTCAGACCTGTGCGCCATTCTTTGACCTAGCCACCTCACTTGATAGACCATCAGATTTTGAAGACAAATGGGAAAATTTACATATATAAACAACCTAATTCACACACACAAATAACCTAAACAACCTTATCTAATTAAATGGACCCCTTCTACCCATTACTTTGTACTACAGGGTGAATGTTTATAAACTGCCCCCCCCCCAACCCCTTATCAAAATGTGTATTTTGAAACCTAACACCAAAATGATGTTATTAGGAGGTGGGGCCTTTGGGTGGCGAGTAGGTCATAAGGGCAGTACCCTTACCCATGCAATTAATGTCGTTAAAATAGAAGCCAGAGAGAATTCCCTTGCTCCTTCCACTGCAGTGTGAGGTTACAGTGAGAAGACTGCTATGCATGAGGAACTGGGCCCCCCACCAGACACTGAACCTGCTAGTGCCTTGATATTGGACTTCCCAGCCTCCAGAACTGTGAGAAAAATATATTGTTGTCTATAAGCTATCCAGTCTGTGGTGTTTTGTTATAGCAGCCCAAATAGACTAAGACACTTACTTGCCTTCGATGATCTATTTATGGTCAATGTTATTACATATATACACCATCTATCCCCCTCATCCATGTATTATTACATCAATATACCCATAACTATTTCCCCATATATCTCTAAATGGGACATACTCTTTAAACACAATCACAATTCCATTTAACAAAATAAATTAACAGTAATTTCTTCGTTATTTAATATCTCACATCAAGTTATGGCTCACATTCTTCCATTATCACATATTTGTATATGAATTACATATATATCATAGAGAATATGTTTATATGTACATATATGTATAAAACCTAAGCTCAAGGTCTTCACATTGCTGCTGGTTGATATGCTTTAAGGTTCTTCTGATTTAGCTCCTTGTCCACCTTCCCCTTACCCCCTAATTGCAATTTATTTTTTGGAGAAACTAAGTTATTAGTTCAATAGAGTTTCTCATGTTCTGAGTTTTGATGATTATATCCCTATGGTGAGGTTTATAATGTATTCCTTTATCTTTCATTTTTCTGTGAGTCAGATCTCTAGTGAGAGGAGAGAGAAGTGGGAGGTGAATTGAGAGAAGTAATGGAGGACTGTGAGGGGCATAGGAAAGAGTGGCTTTCTATCTTGTTGAAATTCTATATTTGGTGAGACAGCATTCTCATACTTTCCTTTATTTTGTTAGATATTAATTCCCGTAGTTATTTGAATATATATATAAAATAGCTGATTTAGAACTTTTTGTCTACAACGTTCAATGTCTGTGCTTCCTAAGGAACAGTTTTTAGTAACTGCTTTTCTTGTGCATATAGACTTTTTCCTGCATGACTCATAAAATACATATTTTTGAAAACTGGACATTTAAAATAATCTAATATGGCTGAAACTGGTTTGGCTCAGTGGATAGACCATGGGTCTTCAGACTGAAGGGTCCCAGGTTCGATTCCTCTCAAGGGCATGTACATTGGTTGTGGGCACATCCCCGGTAGGGGGTGTGCAGGAAGCAGCTGGTCAATGTTTCTCTCTCATCGATGTTTCTACCTCTCTGTCCCTCTACCTTCCTCTCTGTAAAAAATCAATAAAATATATTTAAAAAAAAACAATCTAATGTGGCAACTTTGGAAATCATATTTCCTCCCTAGCACAGACACTTGGATTTATAATTGTTTTTTTTTTTTGTAGTTGTTGTTTGTTTGCTTAGTGACTTCTCTGAAGTAAATTTTTTAAAGTCTTTATTTTTTGTCATGCAGCCATTGTTTGGTTAGCTTAATGGTTAGGTAATGATTGGTCAAATATTCCCTAACTGTCTAGAATCAATAAGTCTTTTAATCTTTACCAAGGGGCTCCGTGTGCATGTTGGGACATACCTTCAACACTCAGACAAGTAGTTGACAACTTTGCCGTAGTTTTTGACTTTCTGCTTGCAGATAGCCTCAAGGTCAGTGAGAGGCCAGAGCTCTGGGTTTTCTCAAGTTCGTCCTGAGCATGCACGCAGCTTCATGATTCCCAGATTCCCAGAAATATGTCAGAGCTTTTCAAAGTTCTTATAGATATCACATTCCCCAGATCTCCTTTTAAATGTTTTTGGTTAGTCTATTATGTACTCCCAAGTACTATTCTCTAGTTCAGGCACTTGTGAACTTAAGTAAGTGCTTGTTTTCATTTGTTGGCTGGTGGGCATATCAGAGGGATAGTCAATTTGCATGTTTCTCTTTTATTAGTGTAATTAGATTTTAGAGAAAGAGAGAGAGAAACATCAACTTGTTGTTCTACTTATTTATGTATTCATTGGTTGATTCTTATATGTGCCCTGCCTTAGGATCAAACCTGAAACTGTAACCAACTATGGCAAAGTTGTCAACTACTTATCTGAGTATTGAAGGTATGTCCCGACATGCACATGGAGCCCTTTGGTAAAGATTAAAAGACTTATTGATTCTAGACAGTTAGGGAATATTTGACCAATCATTACCTAACCATTAAGCTAGTCATTTAATTACTTAAATTCACAAGGGCCTGGACTAGAGAATAATAACAAATGCTCCTGAAGAAAAGGCTTTATGGACTGGGCAAGTTCCACGTCAGATCAAAGAAAGACAACATTGCAGATGAGGTCTTTCAAGGAATGATCAGAGAGATCAAATAATGATAATACTCTTGGAATGAGTCTTTGAAAGAGGTCCACCCTCATTTGCTAGATTGATGGTTTGTACCATGAAGCTGGGCTATTAGTATTAAAAGCTACCACAGAATTTGAGAGCAGGACATGAGACTAAAGCAAGTTAAAATATGACAGGCCCTGGTTAGAATTGGTTAATTAGCTCAGTTGGTTACAGTTTCAGGTTTGATCCTAGGGCAGGGCACATATAAGATTCAACCAAGGAATATATAAATAAGTAGAACAACAAGTTGATGTTTCTCTCCCTCTTTCTCTAAAATCTAATTACACTAATAAAAGAGAAACAGGCAAATTGACTATCCCTCTGATACAACCACCAGCCAATCAGGACTGATTATGCAAATTAACCAAACAAAGATGGTGGTGGCCATGGAGCTGGAGCAAGCAAGAGGCTTGGGTTGCTCCTGGTGATAGAGGAAGCCAAACTTTCTGCCTGCTCTGGCCTCTGCTCCAGGAGAGGCTGGGAGCTTGGGTCATCAGGAGGTGTGGCCAGCATGAAAATGACCATCAGCCCCTCACCCAGGCTGGCCACACCCATGATCTGGGATACCCTTCAGGGCAAATCAGCTGGCCCCCATCAGACCTCTCTCTATACTAATAAAAGGGTAATATGCTCATTAGACTGGGAGACCTTCTAGGAGACCTTCCGGATGTTCTTCTGGACAAAGCCACAGTGTTGGGGCTGAGGTAGAGGTGGTTAGAGGCCAAGAGGGGAGGGAAGTTGTGGGTGATCAGGCCGGTGGGGGGGGAGGCATTCGGTGGTGATCAGACTGGTGAGGGGGGCCAGTTGGGGGCAAGCAGGTCATCAGTGGGGATCAGTTGGGAGTGATCAGGACAGTGGGGGGCAGTTTGGGGTGAACAGGCCATCAGAGGGGCAGTTGGAGGTGAGTGGCCCAGTGGGGAGGGCAGGTGGGGATGAGCAGGCCAGCAGGGAGGGCAGTTGGGGGAGATCACGCTGACATGGGAGGCAGTTGGGGGTGATCAGGCTAGTAGGGGGGCAGTTGGGGATCATCAGGCTGGCGGGGGGGGGGGGCGGCATTTGGGAGTAATCAGATTAATGGTGGTGGGGAATTTGGGATGAGCAAGCTGGCAGGCAGAGTGGTTGGGGGCATTCAGGCAGGCAGGCAGGTGAATAGTTAGGAGCCAGCAGTCCCAGGTTGCGAGAGTGATGTCTGACTGCTAGTTTAGGCCCGATCCCTATAAACTGGCAGTAGGACATCCTTTGAGGGGTCCCAGATTGGAGAGGGTGCAGGCTGGGCTGAAGAACACCCCCCCCCGCTCCCGCCAATGAATTTTTTGTACCAGGCCACTAGTATATATATTGTATAAGAATAATATGCACATTGATGGAATGATGGAACAACCAGAACAACCGCTTGACCAGTTGTTATGAGGTATACTGACCACCTCTTGGTATCTCCCCCTGGCCGGCAGGCTCCGATCCCTCAATGGTGAATGGGGAACCGGGGGTGAGTGGCAGCAGCTGCCAGCAGCCAGGGAAAACAGCCCTGATCACAGGCCAGGCCTAGGGACTGTACCTGTGCACGAATTTTGTGTGCTTGGCCTCTAGTTAATAAATAAAAGGCCACAAAGCTCACCATTATTTCTGGAATTCAGCTGTTTCTGGAATTCAATAAATAATTGCTTCTTGAATTGCTGTAAACCTTTGACTAGTTGCTAAAGTTTTGAAAAAGTAAATCTGACAAATTTTGTTACTCCTTTCATAGATTTTATGGAGGAGAAAATTTTTCTTCACTGTTTTCACAGACAAAAC